ACTTTTCAAAGAGTCTAGAGTCTCTACGGGAGAAGAAATTACACTTGTTGAACTCTGTACAATCAGATGAAAAAGTTTAGTGGCTTTGTGCCTCGGTGGGAAAACGTTTCATATATCCAATGACAGATGAAATAAATGGAAATGAAGCGATGAGTGTTAAAACTAAACAGAATGGCATCTGATTGTAGTTTTAACCTAAAAAACAATTTATAAACAAACGTGATTCACTCAGAGGATTCAAATTATCGAGTATAAAGCAATAATTACGAACATTAAATAAAGATCACTTTACAATTGTAAAAATGTTGTAGGTAGTAAGTCTCTCGTTCACATTGGGATCTGGATCAAATAAACTGAAAACAAAGGTTGAGAATGGTTGATATGCTTCTCTGTGTCACTGAAGAGAATGTATTCGGGTTAGTCAAAAAGTCACATAGACATTCCAGGCTTTGGAAAAAAATCAAATGTAAATAAGCAAATTTGATGAATTTGAAATGTAAAAGCTAGATATTTGAATCATATGTTTAAGTTTGATTTTCGGTCAATGGAGATGGCGAAAAAAAAGGGTAGAATAGCCAATGTGACGGGAATAGGGCCAGTACTTCTTGGAATGGATAACTGGTGTCTCGTATGATCAGTACAGTTTTTAAAAAAGTTAGTCTGTTTCATCAGTTTCGTAGATGATAGAGATCTATAGAGGTTTTGATCTCCATTGGTACAGCTTATGGGTAGCCAGAAATGTCGGGAGCCGTATATGGGGCGAATGTCATCTGGAAAACTGTTTTTCGCAAACTGCCAGTGTCACCCGCCTCTGTATGTTAGAGGTTAAATGCAGGCATAAAGGCCCCATTCCCCGCCATGTTTGTGTATGAATTAAACACACTTCAACGTTCAGAATAAATTGATATTACTTTCACTTTGATATAGCATATTAGCACTTGTGGTTCTATCGGTACTGAAAACGGAAATGCACGCCCAACAGTGTTACCGTCATACAAAGATACTTTTCTCAATCATTGTGTTTCTTCAGACATTTCTATTCACTGTGATTTTCCACGCACATCTGTCGCAATCCCACTAAATGGAGAGAGCTATTTAAGGTCTAAGCCGAAGTGTTGTTGCTCAAATGAATGGCAAAATTGGGCTTGTTTAAAGTAAGTATACTTATTCTTGGTGTTTAAACTCCAACGTTCATCAAAATAATATTTTATATTTACGTAAGACATACCAAATGTTGTTTTAATATTATTATCAACTTGATGGATTTCAATGCCTGCTCGACGTATCCAATACGTGCATGGAGTGATGATGCTTGGTACAGTAGGTACAGGCGAACAAGAGGATAAAAGGGCTTTTTTTTCCAGTTTCCATTTTTTCACCATGAAATTATAATGTAGTAGTGTACTCATATGCACATAACCTTTAAACACCGTTTTTTTTTTTCAAGCCAAATGGCTGCCTCCTCTTTCTTTAATAAATCAACATTTGTTTCAAACATAAATCGTAATCTCTGATAATGACTGCTTGTATCGTATGACAGACGAACGAGGACCCCAACACACATGCAAGGGTCATTAGCGTCTGTATCGTGTCACGAACTTTCTTATTAATAGTCGTAAAACGTTTCGTGTCAGAGGAATAACAAAGAGTCTAACAGAAAAGCGACAAAAAACTGTGGGTTGTCTTTCACTGACGTTATGTCTTTCTCTTCAGATAAAAATAAGAACAAATTACGTTATTTTATCACGACGATCGACTCATTATTGTCAATTACCGCCAAGCAATTATATTGTTTAATTTACGTCATCACGAGAATTATCGATTATTTCGTGTACAAAATCACATTGTTTATTCGTGTACAAAATGACATTATATATAACTTGTCTACGGAGACTGTTTTATAAAATTCGAGAAAAGCCAAGAAGCTTGTGAATTCAAACACGGATAACCTTATCTAGAGCGTTTTGCACAAATGTTGACAAGTTAAAAGCAATCGGTGTTGTATCGGTGCACTTCAAAAAGAAAATAGATAAAGGATCCTACGGGTAATCTTATCAAGAACAGCCTAATGCTACTGTTGCTTGTCTTTACTAACAATAAGATCAGCACACACAAATACATCAGTGGCGGAATTAGCGGGACGGGAGGGGGGGGTCAGGAGGGTCCATGAGAAGGTACATGTAGAAAGTTTCCATTTGATCTGAATCTTACAAACGAAGCTTTTGCGGTTCCAGTGGTAACTCCGCTGTCTTGGACACGTCTAGACATGTGTACTCGGGTTCAAATTCTTGAATGTTCAATGTAATTTTCGTCAAAAATAATTTCTAAAAATTGTATTTGTTTACTTTAAGCCATTAAAATACCAGATAATCTGGTACTCATTGCATCAACATACGAAATGACACTTGAAATGGACTAAAATAATCCTTGACCCTATAGGTGTTTTAACATGGAGTGATGCAACTGCTGAGTTGGAGACAATGTGATCTTGACAGTTAAGCCGACAAACAACCAGACACCAAACAGAAAAAAATTGCAACACATTTTTCCAAAATAATAAAAATGATAACAACTTTCGTAGAAATAACCCCAAAAGTGCTGATTTTCGAAAAAAAAGTTTTACCAAACCTAACCGCTCAGTAAAATTAAAGGAAATAAAACTACGATCTTGCAGCTGTAAGGTGAATACAAGGTGTCAGACGGACGCATCGACATATTGTCTGTATTATAGAGTAAAATAAAAACACGGTCTTAAGTATTATGTTTTAATGTTGTACAAATATTGGAGGCGATGCCTTACAATTCCTCACACAGGTAGATCTTGATAAGGGGAATATTTTACTACAATATTCACGTTTTACAGTAACTACATGCATACAGAGCTAATGATAATGATCTGACATATACTTTCAAAAAGGGTTTTACAATAATCATATATTCTATCGATCTGTTCAACAACGTTACTGTCTTAACCGTTAAACAGCTTCTGATGCAAAATCCAATCAAATGGCCCGTTTTATCAACTCATTGCTGCAATTCACATCAGTTTAATATCCGGATACGAGCGGATCAGGCACCTCAGCTTCGCTGTTCACACAACCGGCCCATTCCAACAGCCGCTCGCACCCCTCTCTATTCCAGCGAAACTGGCATCCTTCTAACCCCCATGGTACAGGTCGAGATCTTATTGACAGACACATGGCATCCGTTCCACGTATCCACTCTGTGCGTTTCCCGCCAACGTGGATAAACCAGAAATTATTCCCTCCATTTTGGCACGTGGGGACATAGTACGGAGGCGGTTTGGACTTGTCTATTGGACAGGTGACAGGGTTGATAGTGAACTGCGTTTGAAGACAGTTGTACCCGGTGAAATACTCGTCGTTCTTGCAATCAGCGGCTGCCAGACGCATCGGGTATGAAACGGGAAAAAAGAAGATCGACTCTTAAAATACAATAATGTTAAGATGTTAAGTAAATCTTGATATAATGTGGCTTAATTAAGTCAATCACATTACTTCAGTTTGCTCACAATATTCTTGCCTGCATGCATATTTTACCTAGAATCTGACCGCATTCACAACATCATTCCCAATAGAAGTAACGTTTGAAACCAACTGAAACTGTTTCAAGAAATGCCATTCGCTAACATAAGTAGCAACATGTTGTACACAATTCATGCAGAAGGCTGTTTTTTAAAAACGTCCGAATACTCCTATGTAGCTTACTGAATTATCAAAAAAAGGTCTCATTAAGGATCATTAAAATTCTATAGACATGTTTACCTCCAGAGCTTGCTCTCCCAAGACACGCAGCTGTCAGACACAACAGTAATGGCTTCAATTCCATCATAACCTCAAATATCAAACTCAATAATCGATACCGTATTGGTTATTGATCAACGGTGCTGTTGTCGAAACAAAGCGTCCCTAAGAGAAGCGACTAACTTGTCGACTCTGCTCGGTCTGGCCCTTGTTTCAGGAAGCATGCTATTACAAGCAGCAAGTGGCAAACACAGCGTATGCCAAATATAAAGATTTCTACGCGATGTAAGACGGAAATAAAGATTCGGTTTCACCTAAACCAACATTAAAGCAGGATGCAATATATGAAATTTATTCAAAGCACATTTAACACATAATGACAGTTTTACCGGTATATACCAGTGCTACGCGTATGATGGCCAGGAATTTTCTCCGCCTCTCACACGCCTCCCCATGTGTCGTCCCAATGGAGCCGAGATTTAATGACTGTCCCCCCGCAGGGACGACGTGTAGGGAGGCGTGTGAGAGGCGGAGAGACTATTAAAAGATTAGGCGGTTTTTCTT